TTTGGTCTCTATTAAAAACATATGTTTCGGCTTTCATACCTGGAATCGCGCCAATTGCTCTTGTTGGCGACATTATATTTACAACACCTGCATTCACGTACGCAACATATGGTACCAAGTATAAAATTTTCGACAATACGCTTAGCCAATTAACTTAGTTCTAAAAATTATATATAATACTAATTAATATATACTAAATACTGTCAATTTGATGGTTGATAATATCAATTTTATTGTTGATATATAATACTTGATAGTAAGTCAGGGGTCATTCTATATGATAGGGTGAGAAATTGTGTGAATAAATGAAGTGTAGTATGCAGGTACATGATGTGACCAGAATATGACCAAGAAAGTAATGATTTGGTAATTGCGACGCGTTTGAAGGATGAATGAAGAAAGAATTATTACTCAAAGCAAATTTATGCTTCAGAACTAACTGACAGAGTCAGCAAAGGTCGTCTTAGATAGAATTTTTTCGACAAAATTGCGAATATATTAAAGATAGACGAATTTAAAAACGCATCTTACCTGAAGTTTTTTTTATATAGGATAAGGGTGACAAACGAGCACACAGTATGTGGTTGCTATGGTCCTTAGACATCTATATCTACGATATAGGAGAAAATCGTAGTGTGGGGTTACGTTAAAAAAGTAAAACAATCTATCTTCGACTACAAATCAAAATGCAGATGCGTTATCACCCGTGAGGACTAAGATGGAATGCTTCGTTTCCAGTAAAATGCGTCTCTACACTCACCATACGAAACACAGCAGCGTTAAGCTGCTATTTTACGCTGGTATTCTGTGAGAGCGTGGTCCTTCCCCGGTCGAGCTACAAATATACTACTTATATAGCTGTAGCATGGCTCTACCGCGTATAAAAAGTTAAGCTCGTAGTCTCTGCCTATCCGTTTGGGTAAGTATATGATATCATTATGATCGACCGTATGTTATGAAATAAAGTGATAATTTATCATTGAAATTTTTTACTAGTAATATTTGAAATTCTCCTCTTGTCCGCATACCATACTTTTTTAAATGTTTCACAAACTGTGAGAAATAACTACATATATAATTATAATTTAATTTTATATAAAAACCGAATTTAAAGTTCAAATAGTCAAGAGTTTAAAACTTTTAATTCATTGATTAATTCCTTAAAGTCTATCGAAAATCCACCACTCAACGTAGGCTTCTTTCCATAGATTGCCTCTTAAGATGGATATTTACCATAGTAGCCACGCTTTGTAGATAAGTTGGCAACGGAAATTGTAATTAATGGTAAGTCGATGCTGTGGTTTAGAGAAACCAACATTTATACTCGGCAAAAAATCAAAAAGCACATGCGTTAGCACACCTGAGGACTAAGATGGAATGCCGCGTTTCCGATAAAATGGTCTCCGGTTATCTACATTCAACATAAGAAATACTGCAGCTTTAATTTGTTATTTTACACTGATATTCTGTGAGAGCGTGGTTCTTTAATCGAACCGACCCATTCGTGCTACAACCATAATAAAGCTGCAGCATGGCCCTGACACATATGAAGACCGTTTAATTTTCTCTTTTAATTTTCCTATGCCACCTCTTATGACACAAACAGCATGATATGGTGTAAATAATAAAGTAAAAAAGGCTTCATTTTATTAACAACAAATTAAGAAAATACTTAACAAAAAATATTTCAGAAGATAAATACAATTTCCCATGACGCATGCATCTTGCATGGGGACATGCAAGATGCATGCGTCATGGGAAATTGTATGTAAACAGGATGTAAACCCTTGTAGCTTAGGAAACTGTATTACTAACTTGTCTTTTGTCAATACGACAGTCAGATTATAACATAAACGAAAACACCATAACACTTTGGAAAAAAAAAGAAAACAAAAGTGAAAATAATCAGTTACAAAGGGCGACTTTATTGCTAAAAGCGAGTAACGTCGCCGAGTACCGGAACAAACTTGTGTCTGAAGTCGAGTCTTTGCTGAACAAAGTCTCGGATTGGGGGCGACTAAATCTAATCCAGTTTAATCCTCAGAAGACACAAATTTACGCGTTTACCGCTAAAAATAACCCCTTTGTCGTATCTCCTCAATTTCAAGGCACTCCCCTTCTTGCCTCAGCCAGTATCGGAATCCTCGGAGTCGACATATCGAGTTTTTTTTTTATAGGATAAGGGTGACAAACGAATACACAGTCCACCTGATGGTAAGTGGTTGCTGCGGCCCATAGACATCTACATCTATCCTCTATTACAAATCAAACTGCAGATGCGTTGTCACCGGTGAGGACTAAGATAGAATGCCTCATTTCCAGTAAAAAGGGCCTCCGGCCACCTGCACTCGCCAAGCGAAACGCAGAAGTAAACCTCTACTTCACGCTGGTATTCTGTGAGGTCGTGGTACCACCCCGGTTCGAGCCGGCCCATCCGTGCTACAGCAAAAGCTGCCGTGTGACTCTACCACTGTTACATAAGTGACGTGCAGTTTCGTGGTCACAAATTGGCCTCAAAAAGCTTGGCGTACTCAGCAGAGTGGGACAGTATTTCATGCCGACCCACCACCTGCAACTTTACAAGGCGCAGGTTCGGCCTTACATGGAATACTGTTCCCATCTCTGGGCAGGGGCTTCCCAGTGCCAGCTCCTTCTACTTGATCGCATCCAGCGCAGAGCGGCTCGAATCGTCGATGACCGAGTCCTTTCTGATCGGCTCGATTCATTGGCACTGCGAAGAGATGTTGCATCCCTTTGCATTTTCTTTCGCATCTACCACGGGGAGTGCTCTGAGGAATTGTTCGGATTAATCCCAGCCGCCAAATTTCACGATACCATCCACACCATCTGGATGATTGGCGGTCCACCACTGTGCGATTTAGAAGATGTTTTCTTCCTCGCACGATTTCCTTGTGGAATCGATTACCATCAGCGATTTTTTCGGACCGATACGACTTAGGGACCTTCAAGAAAAGAGCGTACTCCTTTTTAAAAGGCCGGCAACGCATCTGCGATTCCCTCCCTGGTGTTGCAGCTGTTCATGGGCGGCGGTGGTCACTTACCATCAGTTAAGCCGCATGCTCGTTTGCCCCTCTCCTATAAAAAAAGCGATCTATTTCAGATGACCTTTGTACGTAAATACAGGGGTGTACATCTATACATGTACTAAAATGTAAGTGTCGGTCTGTAACATGAAAATAACTGTCTTCTATTGAGCTAAGGGGTTATTTGCATACACTGCCAAACCATGAATAACCATTTTTTTTTAATATCTGTCTGTCTTGAATGGTTGAATCAAGATAAAGCAATGCCAGAAGTGATTTGAAGAAATATAGCCTAATATGTTATCAGAAAATTTTGATTAAAAAATTAAATGGACTTTTATTATCTTATATCTAAGTAACGTCACATTAATAGATATTATCCACACTTTTTCTATATTTTAGAAGAAATACAATTATTCGAAGTTGAAGCGGTGTACATTTTTATTCCGCCGTACGGTTAACTGCATGCATACAAATAGTCTCATTATGGTCCATACGTATTATTCGACTTTTAAATTATACCTTGAATACTGGGTCTAGTGAAATTACTCCGGTTACTTGTGGTTATTAACTAAATACTGAGGAAATGATGAGAAAATACTGCAACTGTAAACGACAAGGAATACTCCCACAAAATACAATTTATAACAGCGATATTATGTATATTATCACCTGTTTCTCAAATAAAGTAGTTTTAGTAAAAAAATAAGACACATAAATACACTTTGTAAACACTAATATTAAATACAAGCTAGTGACTTAATGGAGTCAGTAATTCATTCCATTAATGTATAATATGATATTACAACAAAGTCCCAGAAAATACACAGACTCTCATATTACATATAATAAAATAATTTAAATATATAATATATATTATATGCAATGAAATACTTGTTAATAAAAAATTTAAAATATTTAATCAAACAAAACTGTATAAGAAACGGTTACTATGATATAAGCCAATATATGGTTGATAATAACCCTTGGGAAAGCGGTGGTCGCTTCCAAGTTGTTTCTTTTATAAGTTTTGTAAATATTTTGTACAACCTGTATTTTAAAGTAACATTTTACATTAACAAAAAAGTCACGTAGGATATTTTCCTCTTAACTCCCACGACAGTGATATTTTTTGGAACCATTGTTAAAAGTAAAAAAAGAAACTATTTTCAATAAGAATACCTTATAATCTATATTGCATAAAAACTTGCTCTATTCACCCAGCATAGCCAAGCTAGCTTACAAAGCAGGCAATACAAAGGATTCCGAGTACAGTGGCTTAGTCAACAAATAATCCTCTATTTATAAAAAAAATACGCCGTGTAGTGCCAGATACTGTGTAGTATCGTTCTTGGAAAGCGTGGCAACTATGGCCTTCCCCTAAATTTCTCCTCTATGAACTAATCTATGGGAGAAACCTATGAGAATCAGTATTAGAATAATTTATGTTCAGCAGTGGGCTTCAAGAGGCTTTAACCCTTTCACGCTCAAGGGAAATATTTTTCTCTTCTACAAAAATCGTTATCGATTGTTCAATTATTATTGAATCGATATTTTTTTTTACTGAATGTCAAAATAAAACGTTATGTCCAAGGCCGCAAATGTGTTTCTGAACGAATAAAACAAAAATAACTGTCAAACTTTATTGAGCCAAAACCAAAACATTCTCGGGCTAAACTAATAATATTTTGAAAGTGTTTTGGACTTGAGAAAATAAAATAACTGTATTTTGTCACGTGTTTTATATTATTTGTTAAGTATAATTTTATATAATAATACAGTAAACTGCAGAATATTAGCACAAGTACCTAAAAGTTGCAAATCATCTAAAGGGAATTATTTTTCCCTCTGGTCCATATCTGGTGTATTCGTTGTAGTATTATTATATGGAGTGCTTTATAATAATGTATGGTTTTCTTGTATTTTTATATAATTTACCTTCATGTTTTTTTACAGAAATGGCTAAAAGAGGGTGCATAGAATTTCATGTTCAAGATGAAGAAATATTGCAGTTACTTATGGCAGATAATAGTGACGGAGAAGATGACTTACAGTTAGACGAAGAAGAACAGCAGTTCATAGCTCAAGATGTAGAAAATGGAATCGATGTGGTTGAAATTAAAGATTATGTTCAAGAACCGAAAAATTAAACCTCATTACCCACCTGTTCAGATACTTCAGAGACTATTCCTATTTTCAACTGAAGCAATAACTCATACGCTCCTCACACATTCAATGAAAGTGAGTATGATTTTGGGCGCATAAATACATAATCTGACCGGCATGGCATGTTGTTGCCACTGGATTTTCATGGAGGTGACAAAAATGGATCAGTTAGTGTCTAATATCATAATAAAAGAAAGTGTCAAATACGCACAACAAAATAGAAGACCTTTTACGTCAGCTTGGATGAAATAAAGGCATTTTTGGGCATGAATTTTGTAATGAGTTATCATGTTTAACCAACTCTTAGGAATTACTGGTCGACTGATGAAGACATGGGTGTGCCTTTCATTGCTAATATTATGCCAAGAACTAGATTTGAGCAGATTTGGCAAAATTTAACAATTTTTTCAACTCGCCTGCTTTGCAACATAAACTTATGATGCAGAACACCAAAGCCTGCGGCACTGTTCGCGCGAATAGAAAAAATGTGCCAAAGTCATTACCATCAGATAAAAGCATGAAAAGAGGCGCCATCCATGCCGTAAGTACAAACGGTATAACATTCGTAAAATGGATGGATACTAAAGCAGTTCATATGTTGACCAATTTCATATCTCCAGTGCCAACTAGCACAGTAAAGAGGTGACAGGCAGGAACTGCTCAAAAATAAATGTTACATGTCCGGAAGTACTGATGCGCTATAATAAATATATGGGCGGTGTGGACCTTATGGACCAGCACAAAGCGTGTTATGAGGTTGATCGCAAGGCCAAAATCAAATATTACCTGCGCCTCTTTTTTGACATCTTAGATATCGCTATGAATAACTCGTATTTAGTGTACGTAAAATTGCACGAAAAACACTGAGTAGAAGGTCCGCATTTGAGCAGCCTCGAGTATCGCCAACATGTAGAACGAGGTCTAATAAATAATTTTACATGTAGGCAGTGATCAAGACCCACTTTAGTCTCCTTTGAAAAGCTCCACATTGGAAATAAACGCAGTTTGCCAGCGCACAACATGGCAAAAGCAAAAACAACTGAAGCGATGCGTAAATTGTGCAAAACGACGTATAGAAAATAGGACACATAATAAATGTGTTATGTGCAATGTCCACTTGTGCTTCACAAGTAAACGAAATTGTTTCGTAGAATACCATAAATAACTATTTATTTTACTTTTCTGTTAATTTTTATTACGTTTTTGTATTACAAAGAAATAAACAAAATACCGATATAATAAACCTAACTCTTCGTTTATTTACTCTTATGGTCCATAGGGAAAAATATTTCCCATGAAATTATAGGAAACCTGTACACCCTGCTATGTTTTTCTGATGATATTCTCTTACTTTACACCCAAAATAGTCAAAATATTGTGTTGTATTGGTATATTTAGTCTTGGACATCTTATGGTCCTGTAAGGGTTAACGGTAACAGTATAAAATAATTATTAGGGAATAGAATAAAATAGAATATAACTCTTTTCAGAACAATTTCTGCACAAATACAAACACACTATAGTTAGCGACACACGACTGCACTGTATAAATTATAACATCTTATGCCGTGATTCTTGCAAATAAAGATTTATGATTTGATTTTTGATTTGAGAGAAATTATTTAATTACTGAATCAGTAAGTCGAGTTACTTCTATTAATCTCTGATATTACATCCAAGTTTACTCTATGTAATGTCAAGAACAAATGACCGTATAGTGATAGTGTAATATAACTTTCGAGGAGGACGATGACTCGGAAGTAATCAAGAGATATCTTGGCAGCACTCCGAGAGTACTAAAGCCAACAAGTACTATCACTGGAACGTGGTGATAGTCAAGCAAACCGATGGAGTGGGCCCGGTTGCGTTCTGAACGGAAATCCCAGGGCAATTCGTATACGCTAATAGTGATGGATTTTAGCTGGTAGAAGTCCTGATTCGGTATAACCTTGTTGTGATTCCCGCAGCGAAAAGTATCCCTGATGATTTCCAACGCTAATAATGGGTTGCAGCACAATTTGGTGGACTTGACCGACGAAAGGTCTAACTCTCAAGGAATTCCAGCATAAAAATTTAAGATTTCAGTGTAAGCCTTTTGAATTCATTATAGTAAATATGTGGGTATTTTTAAAAAAAGATCAAAATGATGCATATCTTGAAAGAGGTGCCCATTCTCAACACGCTGGCTGGCAAGTTGTTGGGCTCAATAACTTAACACGGGTAAATTTGCTGCCTATCACTAGTCTGAAAGATTTGTATAGGAAATCAAAAGCAGGTTTTTTTTTTTCATAACTTACTAGCTATGCTCGGCATGTGTGCGCTTTCAGTGTTAGAAACATTCGCGGTTGCTTGTACAACAACCCACCAAAGTTTCAACGTAATTGTTTGAATAGTATAGAAGTGTATATAAGATGAACAAACATATAATAATTATAATAATTTTATATATTTATTTTATATTAGATATTGAAAATATATTACTCTATTCTATTTCATGACCCTATTTTTCATTTCTAAGACCTTTTTCATATTTCAATAAAAAATTGTAAAGGTGCATGTGCGTCTATGTACGTATGCACTCACGCCCATTTACTTATAATATTCGAGCAATAGCTAACAGTCTACATAAAGGTAGTTTGCTGGTACAGCTCTTGAAAAACCAACTTCAAACAAATAAAGCTACATTCCTCAATACTCTGGAGTATCGGGAAAGACTTACCTTATCCAAAAACCCCCTCAAAAATGAACGAAGTGCTGTTATCAACACTGGAACCTATAGACATGACAACATTATTTTTTGTCATTGCTTTATGTCAAAACAAAACTTTTCTAACTTGTAATGTCATAATTTGATTAAGTACTTTGTTCTTAAGTCCTGTTTTCGCCTAAAGAAGTTTGAGTTACGCTCTGCTCGCACATGTGTAGTTAATTATTACCAACGGTGTAATTGTTCTCAACCTGTTTTACGTCTTTTAAAAGTTAAAATTAAGGCTTTAACTAGCCTGAATGACCTTGACGAAACGGCGATCGCAGAGATTTTAGCCGATGTCAACACCGTCTTGCAACTACGTTCTGTATGACTTATAAAAGTGCAAAGATTAATAGACTGCAGAGATAACAATTATATAAGTGACATACTGCCTGTTATGCTTGCGCATCACTGAGAATTATGTCGCGGTTATGCATCTTCAATTACATTGCACGGTGTGGTGCTGTAGCTTTGTCCGGTAGGCATCACGAGCTATCAAGTGTTCAAGTTTCAAGTACGTAAGAATTTTTATTATATATATTAAATCGTATTTATTTGTGTTGTATTAAAAATATGTCTTCAAAGCGTTCGCTGTAAATTTTCCCGGGTATGATCCCCGACAGCACGAATGAAATTTGTAATTGCAATTTTCGTCAACACGCATTGGGGAAGCACGGCGGGCATTTCCTTGCCCTAAAACCCTCTCAGAAATAAAAAAAGAGTTCTGTGCCCAGTAGAGGGACTTGTATAGCCTATTACTTTACTTTGTAGCAATATTTATATTCGTTTCAGATATACAAGGGTACCTTATGCTGACAAAAATATCATGTGGAGGCGACGAAAACGTAAAACATCTTTGTACCTAGATAAAACGTTCGAAAGATTGTCAGTCATGTCATACGCCACATTTTCTATAGAGGGTATAACATTGCAGATAGGGCAAAATAAAAAATAATCCAATATATTATGGGAACTATTTATTAATAATATATACATTTATAGGTATTTATAATAAAAATAATGAACAAGCTGCAAGGTTCAACTAATAATGTTTTTTGTAAACACAATCGTAAAATACCTGTTTTAATTTTTCCAATGGTTAATTGATGAAACGTAGTCAAGATCACTTCATATAAAATATATTTAATTAAAATTGACACGTGACCTATTTGGCCTTCTACTTACAACTTGGCGGAAATTTGAAAAGAAGATTTTGTCTTTTCACACAAGTATTGTTTACAACTGGCGTGGTTTCGAAAAGCGTGATTAAGTGTCAGCGGTATATAATCAATTAAATACTGAACTTTATTGAAATTTATTTTTTTATTTATTTTTGTTATATCTTCTTAAAAACTGACGCCATCTCACTATTTTATTATTTGTTTTTTTTTTTGTACGCATAAGGATAAATTAGACTAAGTTAGATTAACTTGGATAAGTTTATATTTTTTTTAATTTTATCACAAAATTTCCGCAATAAATTATTACCTTTTCTACAGTGATTCTCTCCTCTTAGTTTCGGCGTGACTGTAGGATGTTATAGTGAGTCACCGTCAGTTACTAAGCGGCCATAAATCATTATATGTATGTATAGACATACATATATACATTTTTTGATTTTAATATTTATGTTTTTTGAATTTTGATTGATATTTTGAAACCTGGTAAAATTACTTTTTTCCATACCAATTGATGGGCCTGAGTATAATGCCAGTTATGCTCTTTGGCTGAAGTTATTTTTTATTTTATGCTCAATTGCAGACAAAACAATATTGATTGCGCATTTCTAAAACAAAATTTTACCTCATCTCCTTCTAATAATAGCTCCTGCACCTAACATGGCGGAATAGTTATTATTATCTATAAGACCATTTGGGAAAACAGTTTTTGTTAACAGTTATGAGTGTAACATTTTATCAGCTGCTTTGTTTATAGTGCCTTGAGCAACACTTTGCCGGTTTCTGTACAGAAAATGATGCTGGCTTTGCAAATACGGATAGCCGCTACCGTTGAATATAATTCCCGCTATGTTACACTTATTTACATAGAAACTTTAATTATCATTTGCATAAAATTCTAAATAGCACTTTTTACACAAGAAAGTAAACTTTTAGATCAGTCCATTTTGTTTTTCACTAATTAAGTAAAAAGTAAAACAAACCAATAGGGCCGGGAATTAAAATTTCTTGCAACTTTTTATAGAAAAGCATGACCTTATCATAATATATAATTTAA